TGTGAGTCAGCTCAGCAGGGGATCCAGCCTCTTCCTAGAAGAGAACAGAGGCCTCCTAGGGAGGACATTGGAAGTCTGCCTCCCTGCAGCAGGCAGAGGAAGGTGTTTGCAGGCCCTCCCGAAATCTCAAGTGAGGCAGCACAGCATAGAGGAAAAACCAAGGCATTGGAAGCCACTGACCTTCCTGCTGTGTGTCCTTGGGCAAGTGACTGTACCTCTCTGAGACTCAGAACTCGAGCCTCAGTCCCCCCTTCTATATAATGGAGATAATCCTAGAACCTGATTCACAGCCTAGGTCCTGCTTCACAGACATGTTCAGAGGGGAATGAGGACGGAATGAGAAAATATGAAAGGAAGCAGCAACACAGCGTGGTGGCAGCCAGTGTGGGCTCCCTGCAGGTGCTGGTAACCAAGGGAGCTCTGGTGGAGGGGTTTGGCAGCTTCAGGCAACTGGCAGGTCTCCTGGAGGGAGGACAACGACAGCGCTTGAGCCTAGCCCACGGTGCTCTGTGGAGCACCCTGGAAATTCACAGAGACAGGCAGGACCAGAACTGGTCTGGTGGGGCCATGAAACTGGATAGGATGATACTGATCCAGGCTATCCCAGGGCACCCAGCATCCAGAGGCCCCCTGGGTTTACTCACAGAGGTTAATAAGCCCTGCCTCAGCTGGGCCAGGGACACCTCTGTGCTCTTCTCCACCCAACCCTGGCTCCCCAACTCCACCCCAGGCTTCAGAGATTGACCGGATTTCTCCTGAGCAGTAACTCTCAACCCCAGTCCAGGTCACAGCCTTGCCGACACCACAGGGGGTCTTTGAGCCCAAGGGGCCAATGGCTGTCTCAGATGTTAAAGTCAGGTTCCTCTTAGACAAAGATAAAATCCTCACCTACCCCCTCCTACCACACAGAACATGCAGAACCAACAGCCATAGCTGGCTTTTCTTTCTGGGTATTGTTTTCTAAACACAAAATTATAAAATTAATTTTTTTAATTAATTTTTTAAATAAGTTTGTTATAAGGCAGGTACACTTGCCAGACAGAGAGAAAGAGTGAGAAATCACCTGGGAGGGATGGCTAACCCACAATCCCTTCTCTTCCATTTTCCTCTGGGGACTTTGGGCACACAAACACACACCTGCACTCAGCGTGAGTTTCAAGATGCCAGGTCCAGGACTTGAACCTTAGTCTACCAGCTGGGAGTTCAGCGCCTGCTGGTCCCCTGCTTTTCTCTCTTTTGAAAATGAATGAGTCCATCCAAAGCCTTCAAGAGGGAGATTGAGGCTGGCCAAAGGGAGGGACCAACACACCGTTGTAGGAATGTGCAGGGGGAACCAGCAGCTGGCGTAATGGCTATGTCGTTGGACTCCCATGTAGTCGACTGAGGGTCTGGACTGGTGGCTTAAACTCACATCGGGTGCGTGTGCCTGCATGCCCAAGATCCCAAGAGGAGAATGGAGAAGAGATTGTGGTGTGGCCATCCCCCCTGGGGGGGGGGTGCTTTCTGTCTCTTTCTGGCGAGAGCACGTGCCCTATAGCAAAAACCTCTCCAACAAGATAAATAAACAATAAAAATAAAGGAATGTGCAGGAATGAACGCGAGACCCGCATGTCGCGAGTGTTTTCTGCGATTTCCTCTATGGCCTTAGTCGCACCCCGTTTGCGTGAGGCTCCGGAGCCTTCGGGACCGAACAGCTGCCACACATGGGGTATCACCATTTCACAGTGAGCAGACTGCGACCAGAGTGCCTTACGCAAGGGTTGCAAGCCCCTCTCCCCACCCGGGCGAACTGCTGAAGCCTTAGGACTGCTCCCGTGGGATATGACAGAGCTGGCAGGGAATGCCCCCTCCGTCTGGCTGGGCCATGGGTCACTCATCCGCAGCCAGAGCTCAGGATTTAAGGCCTTTCAGGCCAAGCCAGACGGCAATGGGACTCTGCGGCAGGGCTTCCG